AACACCTTCAGTATCATCCTAACTAGACATTCCTTGAAATACCACTGTATCACTTTCAAAGTTCACATGTACTCTCAAGCCAGATGTCATTTCCTCAAGGATATACTGACCAAATCAAGTAGTTTTTGAAGAGCCTGCATTGATAGTTTGCCACAATATGGTCTACCTAGAAATCATATTTACATGGCAAGTTAGTATTTCAAAGGAGCATTTGGAATGTTTATTTCATAGGATTAAACCTGTTCCAATCACCCTATAATTCTGAGTCCTCTAAAACAAGTAATATTTTAGGAAATTGCTTCTAAACTTTAAAGGAAGAGAGAGCAATTCAGTGTCAAAATATAATTATCGAAAATTACCTTTGGAATACAAAATCTCTTTACTTTGTGACCCTAGGTAAGAGGACTCCAATGAAGCTGATACCTGAATGGACACAGTAGTAATAACAGTAGTAGTAGTAGTAGTAGTCATCAAATTTCACATTCATGATAACTATTCTGAATAATATAATGCATTTCTATTGTCTTCAGAAAAAATGTGCATTTTTTTCAAATAAATCACTGACTAATTTGCCTGAGGGCCTGAGTTCGATCCCTAGAACCTATATGGTAAAAGTGACTCCAACAGGGAACACTCAGAGAACACTCTGACCTCCATAGGCACGCCATGATGCACACACACACACACACACACACACACACACACACACAGAGATGCATGCATGCATGCACAAACATTCAATATACAAGTTCTGTGTTCGCAACTCACAGAAGCCTATATTCCATGTGACTTCATCAACTTTTTTCACATTTTGGATGCATGAAAGGCACCCTCTCTATTCCTTATAATCATGTCAAGAGAGATAACAAAGTTTCCTAGGGAGTAAACTATTTGAAGCATAATTCTACTTCAAAAAAATATCTTCCCTTCTTCAAACAACTATCTAGGAAGACAAATAACTGCCTATTCAATGCACTATGGCTTCCCCCAGTCTTTAGATAATATAAGAATAATCACAGAAACCTAAAGTGAGAACTTTAAAAAAGTGGGGAAAGTATCAAAAAGAACTCTAACTGTATAAAATTAAAAAACTCTTTCAAAGACTCTTGGCTATCAGAGGCACATGTGACAAGCACTTCCCTAAAATTGTGACAGAAAAAAAGAGATATAGCAGTTGTGCTATGCTTTCTTAAAAGTAATAATATGTACAACACTATAACCATGGATATGCTAGGAGTTTTATTTCTCCCAAGAATATAACTGTAGTGCAGACATAAACATATATACATATAAATATGAAAACACTATATAGACACCAATTTTCCAATCTTAAATTAAAAAAAAAAGTCTACAGACATCTCATGGCATGTCAACTGAGCCTTTCAACTATCTGCTTCTCAATTAATGAATTCTCCCCCTGCCCTTCCTGAATATGCCTCATGACTCATCAGAAATGAACACCAGTTAACAGGGACGCTCCCACCCCTCTTCTTCCACCACAGTGTTGACATTATTATGAAATATGCCTGTTAGAGCAGACAACAGATACACCACACTACCAAACTAAGATCAATTCTCCTTGAGGCTCCATATGGGATATGGCTTCCATCCCCCCCAAAAAAAACTTGTGTACCTCTGACAGCCATCAAGAAAACATCAGCAAACATAACTTTACGTGGCTAGAAAAGAACCACATTTTTTTTTTTTAGCATAACACTTTGCAAGGGAAAATGTACTCCAGTGATAAAAATATCCAAAAAGAATGTGCCGAGGACCTATGCCATTGTGCTTTGTTAACCAGCCAGATGCTTTCTCAAGAATGTGATCAGATTATAAAAACTGGACATACAGCAATTCTTCAGAGCCTATAACACCACAAGAGAAGCATCCCTTCACCTTCCCTTGCATGCAAAGCAATGCCCTACTCCAAACACGTGAAAATCTTTTATCCCTGTGAGTTTGTTTGGCTTTGTTTGGTGTTTTTATTTTCTAAGGAAGGTCTGTCCTAACAAAAGAAAACATATATTAGGCATTTGAAGGTAACTGCTGTTTACTGAAAACTATTTTAAAGTAAGTTTCACTGACTTGCTTCTGTTTGGTAACTCCAGGACAATGATAACTATAGTGTTTCCAAACATCCCAGAGTAGCAATCATACCCTAGTCTGGCCTCTGAGAGGTGTTAAGCTTATCCTCCTAATTATAAGTCTTTCTCTGTTATTACCACCTCATCATTAACTTTCTAAACTAAATAGTAGTTTTGAGGAAATAAAAATAGATGTAAGGTAGTACTTTTGTTCAAATTTTGGCTACAATGGATGAGAAAGACAAGTCATTTTGTTTCTGTGTATAATAAACATCTTTACCTTGTAAAAATAAGAGTCACTTTTAGTGTATTTTGACTAGCAAACTCTAATTTAAGCTTTTTCTCAGAATACTGCTGTCTTGCTTTATTTCAAAACAGTGCTGCCACACAGAACACAAGCCATATTTGTTATATCAAGTTTTCTAGTAGCTTGGATGGGAGGGGGAGGGTAAAAAAAGTTTTTTTTTTTTTTAAAAAAAGGGGAAATTAATATAATAAAATGCTCTATCAAGACCAATATTCAATACATTGTCGTTATAACATAGTTATATAAATATAATATTAATCAAATATTTTACATTCTTTTCTTAGAACAAAATTTTCACAAGCCAGTATGTATTTCACGCTTTAAAGCAATATTCAGAACTAGACACATTTCAAGCATACAACAACACGTGTGGCTAGCAGTTTCTGTACCAGCCAGCACATTCTAAACTTCCTGGAAGATAGAGATTTTGATCTAAAAGTCCAGACACTTGAAAATCTCCTGATGCACACTGTCAGTACCTTAAACCGAACCAAACATCTAGTGAACATATTTTGTTCACTCCTCTACTGTCCTGACTATCGTATTCATTGCCTTCTCTAATGCCCTTCAAAGCATTAAAAAAAAAAAAAAAAAACAAAAAAAAACTTAGTGGCCCATTCATTTGGGCTTATTCCAAGCAAGGTCTAAGATGCTCTCTAGTCCACATATCTACCACCAAGCAGAAAGCCAGAAGGGGCAACAAGACCTTTCTGTTTCCATAAACGGAGAGATCAAATACAGGCCTGCCGTATGGTGACAGTGATAAGTGCAGGGTAACAGTTTTACTTACAACAAAAATTGGAAACATTATATAAGAATAGCACACTCTTCCTCAACGAGGACTATCACTGCATGTTTCTCCCCACCCCCTCCGTCCTCAAGGAGAAACCTTGAGGTAATCTCTTCTTGCTCTGAACAGAACCAAGTGTTTCATTTCACAGGAATTCCATGCCCTGAGCAAGAACAGAATGTTAGAATCAAAATTTAATGAATTCCACTTGGAGTCTGCCTCAAATGTGGAAGTGTACACACACAAACAGTAATATCCCAAGCCACGTAACACTGTGCTTTCCCTTCTGACATGTGCATCCTAGGCTCAAATTTGCAAGAAAAAACGAAAATGAAATGAAGCATGTGTGAGGTTTGTCTAAGTCTCTCCCAATAGTAAAATGTGGCCACGATGTCTTCAGTGACTGCAATTATAAAACAGATGAACAGGTTTTCTGGTGCTGACCTAACCTGTTCTAGAAACACAACAGTCAACTTCATAGTTCTCACTGAGGAAACTCTTCATTAAACAAAGAAATATAAAGACTTTATGTCTAGATTTGAAAAAAAGAAAAAAAAAAGCCTAACAGAGATTAAAAAGAAAACGTAACCCCCTGCAAATACACAAAACAGGATCACTAGGACATGGTATGTTTCTTGAAAGCTACTTAACTTTAACTGTCACCAACTTTTAAGAAGGCAAAGACAGAAGTGACAGCCACGTGCTTTCTCTAGTTATGAAATAACGTATTGTCTCAGGCTACCAACTATCTATCTAACACATCCTGTGTACTGAACTAAATTCTTCAAGGATTCTGCAGTCCTTGAACTTTCATTTTTAACTTGTCTTGGTGATCAGAATTTTATCTGGAAAATAGGACCAGGAAACAACACTAGCACTCTGAAGCCACAGCAGAGAATGTGGACAGGGACACTTAGCCTGGTGTGGAAAAGTTATGCCCTAAGTAAGTTCTTTGTATAAACACTATGTTGAAACCTAGGAGAGAGGAATAGCATGTCCATTGGTGTACTATTTCAAAGCACGTTGCAGAAGGTCTGCAAATCCAAAAGCCATAATTATGACTCCCCTCTCCATGTATTAATTTGTTTATGAAATTCCTTGGAGTATGGCAGAGTTTATTAATCGCTTGCTATGGTCTGTGCCTGTGCTGGTGGGTACAGAAACCTAAGACAGTGTCAATAACCTTCCAGGCAGCTTCTAACTTTGTTTTTAATCCTGGGGATGCAGACTGCTCGAAACCCATCTTAGCATCCCAGCAGCCAAATAGGCTTACAAGCCAGAGAGACTTAAGAACACACTTAAGCTTGTCTCAACACCCCTGTAGTTGTAACATGCTGTGGGCTAGCCAAGAAGGCTTCAGCTCCATTTTTATATATGTAATTTTTTGGTTCTCTTGTTACAGGCTCTGGAATCAAAGTACTCTCCCATGACACATTACTAACAATAACAGATTCGGGCATTTTTTTAAAGAGGTTGAGGGAAGGCTACATATTTTCTTGTTTTTGTCTAAAAAACAGTCTATATGCTGACTACTTTTCGTGAAAGCAATTTGACCAGCCTACTGCGGCTCCACCCTGGAAAGCTCTATACTTACTTTTCTTACAGTTTTTTTTGAGTGACGCACTACAAAACGACCAGAAAGGGAGGAAAAGCGGCAGCCCTCTAAAGCAGGGCGTCTTCCGCCCTGTAAACTTGGCAAAAAAGCACACTGGACTGAAATACAGCACTCTCCATATAAGGCAGCCCAGCTAAACATGTCATGCGTAATTTATGGGTGGCAGGCAGAGCATTAACCTCTGCGTGCACATACTTGGCCCACATGAAGCCAGTGCTGGATGGCAGCCCCCCGACAGAAGGATGCGGGCGCGGCCGGGACCCGCGCAGCCGGTGGCCGTCCCTGCCGTCCCTGGCCGAGGTCACCGAGTTCAGAGCACTCGGCCACGCACCTGCCCCCCGCTCCCCGGCTGCCAGTCCTGTCCCCGCAGCGCCCCGCGGGGGGCCCGCAGCGAGGCGCGGGCCAGGGCCGGGAGCCGCAGCGCGCCGCCGCCGCCGGTGCGAGCCGGGGACCCCCGAGCGCCACCCCAGGCCGCCGCCGCCGCAGCGCCGCCCGCAGCGCCGAACAATGCGCGGCCGCCCCGCCACTCACCTCTCACGTGGCCGTGCAGGCTGCCCGCCGGGGCCCCGACTGCCCGGGGCATTGTGGGATCGCGACTCCGGGATGCCCGCCACGGGAAGGAGAACTGGCCGGGTCGGGTCACGGGAGCATGGCGAGCGCCCCGACTCGTCGGGCTGCGGCGAGAGACTGGGGCATGTCGCCGTGCAGCCTCTTATCGCCGCGCGCCGGTTTCCGCCGCTGCGCGGCCCCTCCCCCGCGCCAGCCCCGCCAGGAAGGCGCGCGGACGCGCCCGCCGCCGAGCTCCCACGCGCAGCCCCGGCCCCCGCCCGTCCGCCCGCCCGCCCGCCCGCCAGCCCGCTCCCTCGCCCGCCAGCCCGCTCGCTCGCTCGCCCGGGCCCGCGCCGCTTACCGCCGCTCCAGCTCCGAGGGCTCCGCGCCCAGCCCGGGCGGCCCACAAGGTTAGACGGAAGGTTAGAGTCAGCGGCCGGGCCTGCCGGGGCAGAAGCGCCGCACTGCCTGGAACCTGGAGGGCGAAGGGCGGGAAAGAAGCCGCAAGGGTGTTGGCGGGTATCTTCCTCCAGCAGTCAGCACTCCACAGTTTCGGAGTTCTGCGGGAAAACTGATCGTCACCCAAGCACAAACCCAGGCCACCTTCCCGTCTAACCAGGAAATAAAACTTGCAGTCTAGAGGCGCCCTTACTTCCAACTCCGCAGTGTGGTGTACAGAAAGCAGGGCTCCCTCTTTGAAAATAAAATAACATCTTAGGAGATGCAGAAGTACTCCCACGCAAGCAAGCCCCGGGCAACGGCCTGAGCAAATGAAACCCCAGCCCCCTAGTTCCCTGGGTGCTGTCCTGTAACTTGGTTTTAAATGAAAAGAATCTTGGGCTTCTGAGAAGAGATAAAGTTTGAAGATCTGCGGACGGGATTTCCTGTGAATTTAAGGAATTCTGATAACTTGGTCAAGGATGCTTTTTAACTAAAAATGCTTGCTCCGTGGTTTGAACATAATTTGAGTAGGGGCGAGGGAATGCAAACTGTAACAGGATTTCTCCCTGTATGTTGTACTGAGAGAGTGAGGCCGGCTTTCCTAGGAGTAAAAATGTCAGGAAAGATGTTAGGGTGCACAAGTGGTTTGCAGACGTACCCATAACAGACCTGAGTAATAGATCCTGTGCTGGGTCCGTGAAACACTGGCTGAATCCTGCTTTCTGATCCCTTCCTGGACTAATTAATTAACTAGTGCCACTTCTCAGTGTTAATCATTAAAAGTACCCAAGTCCCCAACAATGGAAACAAAGTAAAATGACCCTAACATTTTTTTTCAGAGAACAGGGACAGGGAGTTTCTAACTGACAATTAGTAACCACCGTAGCCCGGGGACTTCCTTTCTTCACAGCGTTTATTTCAGAAGCTAGGTGGAATGTGGGCTATGGCAGAGATGTTAAGTATAGGTAGGAATGCGGGGGTGTGGGGGGTCCTTATACAAGGATTGTACTTTGTGAGCAGCATTGTAGGGAAGAGACAACCCCATCCTTTCTGCTGGATAGTTAAATGCTATGGTGGTAGACAACAACACCAAGTGACCCAGAGAAAGGGAGGAATTATATATTATAACTAGTGCCTTGAAAGATGTGCAGAAATCAGTAAGATAAAAAGAGAGTTGATGGGCTAAGAAATGACTCATTCTTAAAGAAACTGGGTCTCAAGCATGAGGACCTGAGTTCAAATTCAAAGCAGCCCAGGCAAGGTTCCCTAACCACGGTGCTGGAAAGGAGGTAGAGAATGGGAGATTCTCAGAGGCCATTGGCCAACGGTTGAGTTCAAGGTTCAATGAGAGACATTCAAAAAATAAATAAATAATAAAACGGAAAGTAAATTTCAGAAGATAGCTGATGTGGACTCCTGACCTTCACATGTACATACACCTAGGCACAGGGAGTTGGATGGAGGTGGGCCCTTGGAACAGTGGAGAAGGGCAGAGGACAAGCAAGAAAGCTATCTGTTCAATTCCATGTGGAGTCAATGCATTCGTCTTCTCTATCCCTTTCTGTAAAAGGAGATTGCAGTGTAGGCAGGAGAGGAAGCCACGAGCTTCAACTTTACTCAGAAAACCATGATGAACTAGTTTGCAGGACCAGAGAGATAGGGTGGAGTGTCTGGACTTGCATTCTAGAAAGATCTCTGGCAAATGCTTAGAGGGTGACTCTGAGTGTATTCAGGGATGTTGGCAAAGGAAGGGTGAATGGGTGTAGACACAGTGGAAAAGTGACTCATTCGGGGGACTGAGGAAGGGAGGGGCATTGGGAGACTCCCAAGCTCCTAGTTTAGCCTACTAGATTGCTACTCGCCTTTCAGTTGCTTCCCATTTTCTACCAACAGAAAGAACCCTGACTTCCTGATAGCACAGGCTACCTTTGCACCTGCTGTGTTAACATCCATGCCCCTCTGCTCAGACCGTACAGTGAGCTGCTGAGACCTAATCCTGTCTGAGGAATTAATTTAGTTATGCTCAGACTGCTAGCTACTTCCAAGTTAGGGACTTGTTGATCTTTTTCTCACATGCTAGAAAACATGCCCTTTGCAACTGAACATAGTGAAAAACAGGACTTTGAACCTATGTATGGCACAAGAGGGGAAGCTGTCTACTGCAATACTCCAGGTTGGGGAACTTTTAGAAACAACACAACAAAAAAAATTGAAACAGACACAAATTTTGTTTCATCAAATAGAACAAAAAGAAATTCAAGAAAGGCACTAAAATGTTAGAAACAATAGAATAAACATTCTAGTTCAAAGCAAGTTAAAGAAAAAAATGTTATTTTACAAGATAAAGAGAAAAAGAATGTTATGATCAAGCATTCAAGCCAATGTAAACCTTAGAAATGAGCCAAAACAAATGAAGGTCTGAAACAACATTGCCGTTGAGTAAGCCTCACCTGTTATCATTTAAAATTTTGAACCACTGAAACAAACATAAAATCAAAAGTTAAAAATATTAAACCATGTTGCTTTCAACTACCAATAGCCACTGAGCCACATTTCAAATTGTGGAAACTACTAAAAAAATCATTACAGTAATAAAAAGCTAATAGCCCCCCATTTAGAATCTACTAGTACTTCTTCAGGGAGACCATTTAGGTGTTAGAGTTTTCAGCCTCATGAGTGCACACATCCATAAGCACGAAAGGGCAGTCATTTGCAGGAAGAAAGGGAAATTACAGAGACAATTTCAGATGAAATCAAACTACATTTTTAGGTAAAGGAAAAAGTGTTCACTGCAGGCTCCTGAGCTATTTCAGTCCTTTCAAGTCTTAATTATACCAATGAGTCCAACAGGACTACAGTCATGGATTTGGCAGATAGTATCAGCTCCTTGTTTTCCAACAATATAGATAAAAGAAACAGTAACATTTATTTTTCTCAGCCAAATGGAAGTCTTTAAGACCCATGTAAGAGTGTTTATGTTATAAACTCTGTGTTCTTTGTTCTGTGTACAGCATTCACAGCTCAGTAGTTCCCACTACCTTTTAATATAATGTCTTTTCTGCCTCCTCCTTCTATGTCATCTAAACCTAAGAAAAATGGTTGTAAAAATAGAAATATGAAAACTTTTTGAAACACTTATCTATAATTTATTTTTACTATACTGGGATAAAATAATTATTTATAATAATGTAGTTATATAATACATGATAATACAATATAATAAATGATATGATAATACTGATTAAAATAATTGATTGCATGACAGTATCAAAGCTAGAACCCAGCCCCAGTTCCTACACTTCCTTATCATGCTTAGGTAAAAATAGTTAAGATAAGAAGCTTTTAGAAGTAATTAAAACAATGCAAACACTTGTATGGAGAAGCACTGTTAAGCCTATGCACTTGTACCTATGTTATTTATATTGCATACCAGGAAAAAGGTAACTTCTTCTGTAGTCTGAATTCAAACTTGTTCACAACTGAATATCTATACTTGACAGAGTTATATGAATCTATTTATTTGTCTGTTTATCTTCAAGGGTAATTAGATGTTTCAACACACAAAGTTCTTTTAATGCCCATTATCTAAATATAGATAATACATCTCTTATACTACAATATGAAACATACCGATTATTGTATGAATTACAAAAAAATTAATTTCATATAAAATCAATATATTTTCAATGTTTATAAAATTAAAAGACTTCAAATACTGATTTAATCATGTACTTCTTACATTACCTAAAAGTTAAGTCTTGTGTATAATTGTTTGAGGATATATTAAAATGAAGAGTTTAGTAGCATGGCATGATAGTAGGGGCAGATGTTGGGGACCACCGGCCTGCTTGTGGTGATATATTGTGCACCCTAATAAACTTGCCTGAGGATCAGACAACAGAGCCAGCCACTAGATTAGACATAGAGGTCAGGCATTTGTGGCACACATTTTTAATCCCAGCACTTGAGAGCTCAGGCCTTTGCTTGGGAAGCACACATGCCTTTCATCCCAGGAAGTAATATGGCAGGGCAGAGAAAGGTATAAAAGGTGTGAGGAAACAGGAACTCACTCTCTTTAGGCTGAGGATTTCGTAGAGGTAAGAACTAGTGGCTGGCTGTTCTGCTTCTCTGGTCTTTCAGCTTTCACCCAGATATCTGGCTCTGGGTTTTTTATTAAAAGACCATCTAAGATTTGAACAACACCTGCTCTCTTAACAGGAAGACAGTTCACTGAAGCAGAGCAGGATCGTCCTCTGTGCTTAAGACAATGGAAACAATGTGAAGTCCTATCATAGGCCTGTCTCCTCTGTTTAATGTGAGCATCAACTGCTAGGCTTCTGGGTGCTGCCCCTTCTCTATTCTTCCTTCTTCCCTTTCTCTCCTTCTTTGACTTCCATCCTTTTTTCTTCTTCCCATTTCTAGGTTCTGTGTTTAGAGGTGAACACAGACTTTCCTCAAAGGATTTTTTTATTCAAATAGCAGGGTGGGAGGGTCATGGTAGGGATACAAGCAACAAGCAAATAAATAATAAATAAAAGGAAAGCACAGGGATAGTTGCATATGGAGATGAGCATTTTTAAGTAAAACGGAGAAGATAGAAATGGAAAATTGTGTTGCATAGGACATGAGGCGGCCATGTCCTGAGGAAAAAAAGGATTGCTTGGGGGAAACAACAGGGCTAAACTCACTGTAAGACAGGCTATCTGAGGGCAAGTAGACAGAAATGGGCTGCCTAACCTCAAGGAATTTACAGTCGAGCACGAGGAAACAAGAATCATAAACGAATCACTCTCAAACTGCAAAGCTATGACCACAACATTTTGGCTCTATGGGAAACATGAATGTGTTGGTTATAATAGAGGTGGGGTGGGCAGGCACACACGGCCCAGGTTTGCTTCTGATAAAGATGACCAGGTTGTTCTCCACTGCCCTCTGATATGGTCTAGTCTTAGAACAGAAGGCAGGAAGTGCATCACTGCTGAGAAAGAGTAGTGCCATCAAGAAAGGCAAGTGGAAGAAGCAAGCAGAAGGAAGCACAGCCATAGAAAGGGATTGGGTAAACATCTTTAGCCATATAGTACTGCAAGCGCTGTGCATTTACTCCCTGGAATTGAAGCCATGCAATAGTCACCTCCTTGTTTTGAGGTAAGTGAAACAGGTATTTCTACATGTGACCAATCTCTTATTTGGGACCAACATAACAATGATAATTCACAATTCCTGAAGATAGACTATTGGAATCATTCCCAGGCATGTGGGTATGCATGGAGCCCATGAGCTGATGTAGGGAGTCTTCTTCACCCACTTGCCTCCTTCTTCTTTGAGGCAGGCTGTCTCAGTCAAACCCAGAGATCACAAATATGACGAATTCAGCCCACCAGCTTGACCTAGAGATCCAGGGACCCTGGCTGCTCAGTACCAGAATTACAGGCAGGCTGCTAGGCCCCGCGTGCTTTCGCTTAGGCGCTTGGGTTCTGAACTCCAATCCTCATGCCTGCTGCGTCGTACAGGTGTCCTAGTTTTCCTTCTTTTGCTGTGACATAACCTGATAAAAAGCAGCATAGAGGGAGAAAGGGTTGATCTGGCTTACAGTTCCCTTACATCATTGCAGGGATTTTTAGAAATAACACATACAACGGGAACTATGAAACAGGTAGCAGCATCACTTGGACTTTCACATCTACGGTCAAGAGCAGAAAGAAGAAACAGGTCCTTGCATGTTAGCTCTCAGCCAGCTTTCTCCTCTCCTATGAGGTCTGGGTCCCTGCCTAGAGTGTGCTAGGATCCACAGTGGGCTAGGTTTTCCCATACCGATTAACAATCAAGACGAACACCCTCAGACACGCCCACAGGCCACCCGGTCTAGACTATTCCTCCTTCAATTTCTCAGGGGATTCCAGATTATGTCAAGCTGACAGTTAAAATGGACCAGCACACATTGCAAGCACATGAAGCACCCAGTTATTTCCCTGGCCCAACTTTGATTTTTGATATAACCGTATGGAACAAGTGCCATTCCTCATGCTGATCATGGTAGTCATCATCTTCATATATATATATATATATATATATATATATATATATATATATATATATATATATATATATATATGTATGTATGTATATATGATAGAGGCTGCAGAGTTGATCCTCCGACCAAAGCTTCCCAATTAATAAGAGATCCAGCCTCCTCATCTACAAAATTCCACATGGAATTCCTAAAGTCATGGAATAATAGTAAGATATGACAGATTTCTAAACAAATGTATCTAAGATAAAAGCACGTTGTGGGGGGCTATAATTGAAATAATACAATATGTAACATTGGCCTTTATATAAATAAAAAATACACAATTAAACATAAAACAGATAGTGGGGAGGCCAAAGTAGACATTTCATCTATTTTTGCTTACGCTATGTAATTATATGTAATGTTGTGAAACACTTTCTATTATGCTATGAAATTATATGGTGCTGCTAAATACAGAATTCCCTGGTAATTCTTTTATTACAGTATATATACATATATATGTATACATTTGGATTATAGTATGAAAGGATTATAGTATGTGAAAGAGCTAAATTATATACATATATATATATATGTTATTAACATTGCTCATTGTAGAAAAGTCTGTGACCTTTTTCTTTGAAAGACATGGCCACAACCTTATTAATTCTTAAAACTGACACTCACAAATATAACAACCGCCAGGGTTATTTTTCATTGAGTACCTATTCATGCTTGACATTCCTTTCCTTTGATTTATAGTACTCTACATTTCTGTCCTTTTTCATTCCATTGTGTTTTCTCTCTCTCTCTCTCTCTCTCTCTCTCTCTCTCTCTCTCTCTCTCTCTCTCTGTGTGTGTTTATTTGTCTGTCTGTGTGTCTGACTGAATCATCAACTGTACCATCCTATTATTTCTCACTCTTCTGAGATCCCTGAAATGCTTAAAATGTCTTTAAACCATGTCTCAAGGGATGTCTTAATCCTCTGACTAAGACAAAACTTTGTCACCTCAAAAATTGATACAAGTTTCATAGACACATTCTTTCCACTTTACCTTGTTCAACAGCATGTGAACTGGGAGATATAATTATAAATTATTATTTTGTGTTGTGTGTGTGCCAGCACATGTATGTACTTGTGTGTACTTACCCAAAGAAGCCAAAGCTCTCATTACCTGGAGCTGGAGATTTCAGCAGTTGTGAGCTCCCTGACATGGATGCTGGGAACCAAACTTGGTTCTCTACAAGAGCTGTACATGCTCTTAACTGCCATGTCTCCAACCCCTGATTTTAATATCAATGTACTGGCCATTGCTTATTAATCCATTTAACAATTATTTATTGATCTTTGACAATATGTGAGGATTTATGGCTGCTGTTTTCCTCAGGGTGTTCTATTAGTCTGAGGTGGAGAGAATTTTGGAGAGAATACAGATGGGAAAGCTTGTAATGAATACACCAGTTCAGTTAAGTTCAACAGGCCCTACATGCTCACCATGTGCTAAGCAGGTGGCAAAGAGGATAGGGTGGGGCCAGGCCTTGGTCCTCATGGGATTCTAAGCCACTGGTGAGTGGTAGAATTATCCACCAACTGTTAACAGCTTCATGGCGAAGAAAAATAAAATCAGAGAAAAAGTCATGAAGGACCAAGAGACAGACAAGTGACTTGATCAGATGCAGACTGCTAACACTCATCACCCAGCAATGTGAAAGGGAAGTGTGGTTTTCAGAGTAATCATATTGCCCTATGGGAAGTCTGTTTGTCATGCCTGTTTCCCAGAGGCTGGGCTGCCAGAGAGCAGGAGCCTGGCATTTCTTCTGTAAGTCCCCTGGGGCCTTGCAGCTTTCTCTCCTTGCTTCCTTAAACCCAAGTCACAAATCTTCAGCAGGTGATAGGAGATTATCTGATCAAGGTCATTTGCACTATGGCAAGAATGAAGAGCATTTGTGTCCACCAAGGACAGTTTGTCAGCTCTAATGAACTGCTAATAGAAATGGCTTTGTGCACCCTGGGGACGGATACCAGCTCCTCTCCTTCACAGA